GCATCAGAGGACCCACATGAACGAGAGACCCTACGAATGCCCCCACTGTGACAAGAGCTTCAACAGGAGATCGGGGCTTGTCAAGCATCAGAAGACCCACACGGGGGAAAAACCTCATGAGTGCACTGAATGCGGACAAGGCTTCGGGCAGAAATCAAACCTGACTAGACACCTGAGGATCCACGCTGGGGAGAGACCCTACAGATGTACCAAATGTGGGAAAAGCTTCACTCAGAAATCGAACCTGGTTCAACACTTGATGAAACGCCACATGGGAGAGAAACGTGATGCAGCAAATGTAACTTCAGATTCAGTAGATCTAGCATTGCGATAGGGAGTCCACACACGGTAGAAAACATTGGTGTGGTACTTCCTTGCTTGGAGTGGGGCCCTTCTTCCCCCATACGTATTAAAAAGTACAAGGTTTAAAGAGCGTGGGTGGGTAGTAGTGGCTTATCGATGGTGACAAGTGTGAGATTTGGGAGCACAGGCGCCAGCTTCCAATTTTCCTTGGGGGTGCTCAAGCCCTGCTCAGCCCCAGGCCCTGCCCCCACTCCACCCTTCCACCTCTTCCTGCCCAGTTCTCCCCCCTCCCCTGAGTGCACCCTGTCCCCTCTCCTCCCCCTCCCTCCCAGTGCCTCCTGCATGCTATGGAACAGCTGATCATGGAGGCCAGGAGGGAGGGGAAGGAGTTGATTGGCGGGCTGCCGGTGGGCGGGAGGAAGGGAGGAGCTTGGCTGCCAGTGGGTGCTAAGCACACGCTAACTTTTCCCATGGGTGCTCCAGCCCTGGAGCCCCCATGGGGTTGGCGCCTATGTTTGGGAGGAAGGAAGAGATCTTTCTCAGGGGGGAGAGGGAGATAGTTAGGGAGGTTAGATGATTGGATGTTGGAGGGAAGTGATCACAAAGGCACTAGTGGTAGAAAACTAGAGCAGAGAGCGACTGGTAGTGGAGGTATGGACCATTTGAAAAGTGGGATGATGTAGGAGTGGGAATATGTGTGTGCTTCTGTGTGCGTGTGTGTATCTTTTAAACATGTCTTAGGGCATGTCTACCCCGTGAGGTTTACTAGTATAATTATGCCTCTCTGGTAATACAGGTTATAACTTCCCCAGTGAACACTCTGATTCCAGAATAAGTGTGTCCACACAGGAAGTTACAGAGTTATAATTAGACGTGTATACTGACGCCTGTAAAATACCCTGTATTGACCAACTCTCACAGGGGAAGTTTAACGGTGACAGCCGAGGAGGAGTAAATCAGTCGTGCCCCATCCGGACAGCAGTTTGCTACCATGCTCCTAACTGGCAAGTGGCACTATGGGATAAAAATGCAGCTCACTGTCACAAAGCACACGGTGAACAATGGGTCACCAACCATCCCATCTTAGCCTGCGGCTTCAGTGTTGAGCCGCTCAGACTATCGCAGAGTTCCTGTAAGTGGTTGGGCGCACAGCGGTTTTCCTGTGTGGCCGCTTCCTGTAACTGGTGATTTACATCCTACTTCCTCCCCTAGCTCTGCATCCCACAGTCCACTGTGAGCGTCTGAAATAAATAACGTCCTTGTTGTAGGGAGCTGCTGCTTGGCCAGTGTGGACTAGCAGCCCAGGATATTTCCCCGTTTATTCCTACAAACACCGCTGGGCCGAGTGCTGGGTGTGAACCGGAAAATGCCCCATTTGCCGCGTAGCTGGTTAAGCCCTAATATGTCTTAGACCAATCACAAAACCCCAGTTCTCTCTGCAGTGTAAATGGGGCGTCGGCCAGTCGGTTTCATAAGGATTGAGCAGGACGGTGTCCCAGAAGTGTGGGGCTTTTAGGGGAGGGGATTGCAGGGCACGGCGAAGCGGCCATTCCTTTTCGTTTCCCACTAGGCTGATGGAACCAAGTGATCACTACTTTACCTGATCAACCCTGCGTGCTGTTAACTAAGCATGAACGTGCCCTGTGAAGGCCTCTGTGCCTATTGCAGAACAGCGAGTTTGTGTATTTTTTTGGTTGTGCTGGGGACAGCTGTGACCTTGCAGCTGACAACAAAAGACCCCCCCCCCCATCCCTCATCCCAGGGCTCCCAGGGGACATGTTGCTTTGAGTCTGGAAGGCGGTGGGGTGAATCCCTTCTTTCTGAAAAACGGATCCCCTTGGAGAGTCTCCTCAGCTACCTGGTCACTGCCGTCTGCTGGGAAGAGACTAGGGGTATGTCTACACTACACCTGCTACCGCACCACAACGCCAGTGCTGCACCTCTGCTGGTGTAATGCAGACACTACAGCGATGGAAGGGGGTTTTCTGTCCCTGTAGCAAATCCACCTCCTCGAGCGGCGGTAGCTAGGTTGGCAGAAGAATTCTGCAAAGAATTCAAGACATTTTTCACAGCCCCGAGTGATATAGCCAGGTTCATACCAGTTTTTGATGTAGACCAAGACTAAGATACGAGTCTCTTTCCCTTTGCCCCTCGCCAAAATCAGCTCTCTCTTCTTTCACCGTCTGCCATGACGTTGTTCAGTCCCCACAGGAACAAGCCACACTGGGGGCCAGTGGCCAATATTAAGGCCCTTCGTAGGTACAGGAAAGAAATCCAGTAGTGGACAAAGGGGGCACAATTTGCCCCTTGTCCAAGTGTCTTCCTAATCCTGTCAGCTAGTTGTTGGGTTGTGCCCAGAAGCAGATTCCTCCTAAAAACATTTTTTACTTGAGCTAATAATGTACCTAGGGAGGTTCTCATTATCCATGGTGCTATCCGATCCTCCACTGAGCTCCAGGCCTCAGTGCTATCTAGTGAAAATGAGTTACACAGGCTAATAATGCAGAGTGTGTGTGTGTATGAAAGTAGATCCTAAATGTTGATGAATTTTCTCCCTGTGAAGACACTTCTACCCCTCTACCTTTCTGATAAACTAAACAGGGTGAGCCAAGTCCCTCCCTGTAAGGCATCGTTTCTAGCCCCGGAATCATTTTTGTAGCTCTTCTCTGCACCCTCTCCAGTTTGTCAACATCCTTTTTAAAATGGGGACACCAGAGTTGGACGTTCTGTTCTAATATGGGTCTCCCCAAAGCCACACAAAGGGGTCAAACCACCTCCCTCCTCGCTGCTTCTGTTTAAACAGCCACGGATGGCATTGGCCCTTCTCCCCCCCACCCACAACATCTCACTGGGAGCTCATGTCCAGTGGTCTGTCGACAATGACACCAGAATCCCTGTCAGAAGCAGTGCTTTCCATGAGACAGTCCCGCGTGGGGTCAGTAAGGCCTGTATTCTTTGTTCCCGGTGGGATGACCTTGCATCTGGCTGTATTGAAACACGCTGTGTTTGCATGGGGCCCAGTTTACCAAACAGCAGATCCTGAGCATGTTCCCACCAGTGTCACCAGCTCCCATCCGGCCCCAGGGCAGCAGGACTGGCTGGCTCCTGGGGGTGGGGAAGGGGACATGAGGCCATTCTCTTCTAGGACCCATGGCAGGAGCTCCCATCGGATGGTTCGTTGGCTGATGGGCAGCGAGTGGGGCTGGTGGGGATTGCAGGTGCTGAGCAGGGGTCTTTGTTGTTCCAGGAGCCGGTGACGTGGGAGGAGGAGGCTGCGTGTTCCTCCAGGGCAGAGCGGGCAGCGCTGGCCCCAGAGCAGGGCAAGATCTGCAGGGAGGTGAAGGAGGAGAATAAAGAAGAGCCTCTGATCTCACCGGGTGAGGAGCAGCTTCCCCTCCGGGATTAGCAGCTGGGTGGGGGTGGGGGGAAGGGAGGTTCTGAAGCCCACGTGGTGCCTTTGGGGCATTGGCCTCTGGATCCCCCAGACCTAGCAGCACAGAGACCGTCACCCCACGATGCAGATCCCGCTTCCCCCCAAGCAGAGAGCGGGGCTGGGGTTAAAATCAAGGAGCAGTTCTCCGTACCGCGCCCTGGGGGGAGATTTCACCGACTGCCATCTCGCCTGTTTCCTTCCCCCGAGCAGGATTCCCCGTCCCCGACCTGGCCATGGTCTCTCGAGTGGAGCGAGGGGAAAAGCCGAGGGTCCCGGATCTCCAGGGCTCTGAGGAAAGGGAGACCCCGAGAGGCGCCCGCACAGGTGAGGAATGAGCGACACCGGCTCGGAGACTGTCCGGGAGTGAAGGGAAAAGCTGGGATCCCAGCAAAGCTGCCAGGGTCTCCCCCAGCTCCCTTCGGTTCTACCTTGTCTCTGTCAGTATCATCCCCGGCAGGTCCTTGTCGTCAGGGCAAGTGACAC